GGTGCTGAGGACTCGGACGTTGGAGCTGCTGCTGGAGCTGAGGACCCGGGCGGTGGCGCTGCTGCTGGTGCTGAGGACCCGGACGGTGGAGCTGCTGCTGGTGCTGAGGACTCGGACGGTGGAGCTGCTGCTGGAGCTGAGGACCCGGCTGGTGGAGCTGCTGCTGGTGCTGAGGACTCGGACGGTGGAGCTGCTGCTGGACCTGAGGACCCGAGCGGTGGCGCTGCTGCTGCTGCTGAGGACCCGGGCGTTGGAGCTACTACTGGTGCTGAGGACCCGGCCGGTGGAGCTGCTGCTGGTGCTGTGGACCCGGACGCTGGAGCTCCTACTGGTACTGAGGACCCGGCCGCTGGAGTCTCCTCTGCTTCTGGAGACGCTGTGCGGCCGCGACCGTACTTCGTACCGCTCCTTCAGCAGGTTCTTGGGCAGGCTCCTCCTCCTTGTCCTCCTCCTCCTTGTCCTCCGCAGTCACAGTTACCGCCTACCTCGCCTCTCCCTGCTCCCTCTCCTTACACTGGTCCCACAGGAGGTCTTACAGAGCGTCGTGAGCCTGAGTCTCGTCCTGCGTCGCCTGTTCGTCCTGCTCGCACTGGTAGTTGTGTCCGTCGTGAGCGTCCTCCTCCTGTCCCAGGCACTCACTACATGACTCTGCGTCCCTCTACTGCTCCTCAGCGTGTCCCTCTACCGTCTCCTCCTGCGTCCTCTTTGCCTCACGTTCCGGACCCTGAGTCTGACCGGTATCGTGCTGAGCACCCTACTGTCACGCGTCTCCTTGCTACTGTTGTCACTGACCCTACCTTTGAGTCCTCGGCTGCGTCTGCTCTGGTCGCTGAGTTGGTTGACTTTGCTGCTGCCTGTCGTCTAGACTACGCTGCTAGCCTTGTTGCTGAGTCTGAGTCTGAGTCTGTCTGTCCTCCGTCCGTCGGGGGTGAGTGTGCTCTTGGCACGGACGTCCTTGAGGACAGACAGGAGGAGTTCCAGTGTCTTGCTGCTGCTTTGCCCCGTCTCGTGTCCTTGCTAGTTGCCCCTGAGGGAGACCCGGATGCACCAGACATCCCGACCCCGCGCACTTACGCTGAGGCGATGGCGGGTCCCTACTCCTCTCAGTGGCAGACAGCCATGGACGCCGAGATGGCTTCCTGGAAGTCCACACGCACCTACGTCGACGAGGTTCCCCATCCTGGGGCGAACATCGTCAGTGGCATGTGGATTTTCAGGGTGAAGCGGCCGCCGGGTTCTCCGCCTGTCTTCAAGGCGCGTTACGTGGCTCGAGGCTTCAGTCAGCGAGAGGGAGTTGACTTCTTCCAGACCTTCTCCCCCACCCTGAAGATGACTACTCTTCGGGTGCTGCTGCACATAGCCGCTCACCGCGACTACGAGCTTCACTCACTTGACTTCAGCACTGCTTTCTTGCAGGGCAGCCTGCACGAAGAGATCTGGCTGCGCCGCCCACCTGGCTTCACTGGGTCGTTTCCTCCTGGTACCCAGTGGAGGCTTCAGCGGCCGGTCTACGGTCTCCGCCAGGCTCCGCGTGAGTGGCACGACACACTGAGGACTACACTTGCGGCTCTTGGGTTCGCGCCTTCTACAGCTGACCCGTCGCTGTTCCTGCGCACCGACACTTCGCTGCCGCCGTTCTACATCCTCGTGTACGTCGACGACTTGGTCTTTGCCACTGCTGACACTGCAGGACTCGCTCACGTGAAGTCGGAGCTGCAGAGGAGACACACGTGCACAGACCTGGGTGAACTGACAAGCTATCTTGGCTTGCGGATCACCCGGGACAGAGCACGGCGCACCATCACCCTGACTCAGTCACACATGGTGCAGCAGGTTCTCCAGCGCTTCCGCTTCACGTACTCCTCGCCTCAGTCCACTCCTCTGCCTACCGGTCACTCGCTCTCAGCTCTGCCTTCGGATGAGTCCGTAGAGCCGAGTGGCCTGTATCCAGAGCTTGTGGGCTGTCTCATGTACCTGATGACCTGCACTCGACCTGACCTTGCATACCCTCTTAGCATCCTTGCACGCTATGTCGCTCCTGGCCGTCACAGGAAGGAGCACATGGATGCCGCTAAGAGGGTGTTGCGCTACTTGTGCAGTACGTCGGGCATGGGGCTTGTGCTTGGAGGGCGAGACCGAGTTGTTCTCACAGGACACTCAGACGCTTCTTGGGCAGACGACCAGGCCACTCAGCGGTCGTCTCAGGGTTACACCTTCAGCCTTGGCTCTGGCTCAGTTTCTTGGCGCTCTACGCGCTCTTCTTCTGTTCTCGGCTCCAGTTGTGAGGCTGAGATCTACACCACAGCCATGGCTGCTCAGGAGCTACGCTGGCTGACCTACCTACTGACCGACCTCGGAGAGCGGCCTCGTTCTCCTCCAGTGCTGTACGTCGACAACAAGGCTGCCATTGCCTTGTGTGAGGAGCACAGACTGGAGCACAGAACGAAGCACATCGCCCTGCGGTACTTCCTTGCTCGAGAGTTGCAGCAGCGTGGTCAGCTTTGTATTCGCTACGTGGCCACTGAGGCCAACACTGCTGATGTGTTCACCAAGGCGCTTCAGCCTCGTGACCATCAGCGCTTCTGCACTCTACTAGGCCTTGTGCCTACTGGACCTCACTTGCTTACCTCTTGACTTTGCTTGTACTGTGATCACTATATATATATATATACCTGCATGTTTACTCTTGCTAGGTTGTGATCACTGTATCTCTTGCTCTGTTATAAACCTGCATGTGAACTGGTCTTGTGACCACTAGCTTGTGCTCGGAATTTGTGTGGAATCCTCGAGATCCACCCTGAGCTTGCTTTGCCTTGCTTTGCCCTGACTGGTCGTGTGACCCCCAGGTCTCCCCACTTCGCCTATGGGGGTGTGTCAAACATTATATGTTTATATGGTTGTAGGCTGTAGTGGGTTACGCCTTAGGGGGTACACTGGATTAGGGTTTCCTATTTGTATCCAGCCTTCTGTTAGTACAGCCATTCCAGTCCGTTCATTCTGACATGGTATCAGAACGAAGGTCTCGGGTTCGAATCCCGGTGTGTGCACCTCGGGCATCCCAGTGCGGGGGGGTGTCAGAGGTCCACTGGTGATCCCCGATTGATCCTAGGGAAGGGTTACAGGCACGTTGGCCTGGGGGGTTATGGGCGCACTCACCCGCTACACAAACAAGCCCTTTTATCCCAGTGGTTAGTGACTGGGATTCTGACAGTAGCAAGGGACCTAGTCAGAGTCACTAGAGCCGCACACTTCATTGCCGCAGTTACATGACAGCGAGGCTGCTATAAGACACGCGTAATGAATGCGCGTGCTGTTACGGGCCAGCAAATGGCTGTACCTGTGGTCCTATCCTCTGGTCCACTGGGCATATGGCCTAGTGGGTCAAGATGTCGGTTTCAGACGAAACCGAACTCGATATCTGTATATTCAGATTAAACATACTACACGGTCTGGAAAATCATACGAACCTTAAACGTTTATCTTACTGATCAGATGAGAACAAACACAGATTCTTAGGAAGCAGATGAATACAAAAAAACAAGTCTTAAACTCAGACCATCAGACCAAATTGGTCTGATAACGAGAACCCTGTATCAGTGACTGTTTGTGTCGAAACACAACAGGGCGAGAGGAACATTTGTGCAATTTTGAGCCATTATACGTCGGAGTGTATCGGGAATAATCCCAACATCGGTCGTTGGTTGTATGTGCGTGGTAGGTTCTCTGTGGGCTTACAAGCCTCCCGACAATGTAGGCCTGATCATTGTGCACGTCATCGGCAGGCCAACCCTTTTCATAGTACTCACCCTCATCGATCTACATTGACTCTACTGTATCGCTTGGTGGGCTCTGCATGTGTAGTTCATCCTAGGGTGGCCCAATATTATGTATTGCCTGCACACGTACACAACACATACCACGGACGTGGGTACGCAGTAGCCACCCCGTGGTTTGGTACCCCAACCCCCCCTGAAAATGTTTTGGGATGGGCAATAAGAGGACGAACAGCACCCGAAGGAGCATCTGCCATCTCCTCCTGCTTGCACGCCTCGTCCCTCTTCCGCTTCTTCGCCTCGCGAATCTCCGCCCCCACATGTTCTTTCGTCACAAAGAAATTTGCCGGAAATCTATGCTCAAGGACACTCTGAACAATGTTTAGGGTTTGTCCCAGGGACCATTTCTGGAGGTCTATCTTCAGCAATCATCGTCGCGTGAGCAGTGTTGGGAGAATGTCTGTGATGATTGGACAAGGATACCCTCGCACGTTCGGCAACGATTGCCGAATCACTTCCAGGGCAATCCTCGTTCTCGATAAAGAAAATTTAGTACATCTGGCACTAACCAATTCGGTATAGCGCAGCGTGTTCATGCGAACATCTATACGACAAAAACGATTTGTGACGCAAACGCAAAACGCAAAACGAAAGTGACTACCCACATACAACCACTTTTTTTAACAGCACACTCAGAAAAAGGAATCATGCCTTATAACATAAACCATATTACCGACAAGAATCAGGTTACAATGTTACACAGTCTAAAGCGTATCATGACAAGGTTATACAATCGTGTCGCGGTTTTACAGCACTGTAGCATGCCACGCGGAGGTTAGCAAATAAAACAGTCGAGTCGCGTTGCCAGGGGGGGGGTGGTATGTGTCAGCGTGCGAGTTGACATCTCTTTTCCCTCTGATGTTCGTGCTCTGTGTTTGATCCACGACGTGACCACACAGACTAATTGCATTGAAATCAACAACACATCGCACGGCACTAACAGACGCTAACACCACACCACGTTATCAACAGCTCCGAATTCAACACGACACAAGCTGAGCAGAAAAACAAGCAGCACTGGCAGAAGTGAAAGCAGAGAATAACCCAACGTGCGGTAAGTTGCGACTCGCCTCGTACACTTCAGGGCATCACACCACATGCGCAAGGAGCAAACATCGTGTTTTGCAGGGTGACCCTATTACTTCCCAGCCATGGCCACGCATCCTCCTAGGCATCGGCCTCATCGTCGTCGCCATCATCTGCCGTCGCGGCGGCCGGAAACGGGTGGAGGGGTGGAGCCAGCGGAGAAATGTCTTCGAGGCCGTCCTCGGAAATAATGACGGAGCTGCCCTGGCGAAATGCCCACGCACGGGCATTAGGGTCCCACCACGGTCCAGTAGCCGGGGTGCTCGCCATAATGCTCCTTCGGGCCCACTCGACCACGCGGTCGTGGTACCAGCGCACCGCCTCGTCGTTCTGGGGCGCCGACCGTGGCATCTGTGTGCCGTTGATCAACGGATACTCCACCTGCATTCCTCACGCATGGCACGCGTAGGCAAGGCAACCGTTAAAAACACGGCCTGCTCTCGATCAATAGTGGATAGAGCATGCGCCCCGAGCTTAATCACTCACCCCATAGAGCCAGAAGGCAATGACATAAGTTCGCAGGACGAGAGGGGGTGGGCTGGCTCGGCGGAACGACTTGTAGAGGCCCCTCTCAAACGAGTCGGCGGCGAAGGGTAGGCCGTTGAGGACATGCCAGGCAAGCAGCTGATATGTGCCTGGTCCTGCGGAAAGGGTGTTGAGACACGAGCGTGCACACCATGGTTAGTTAGCTCACCATAGCGTGCTAATACCGTATTATCGGCTGGCCCGACGAGGCACGGAAATGCCATACAGCCCCAGAAACAAATGTTCACCGACCTACAAGATTGCCTAGATGTACTACCTGCGCGATGACGGGTGACGAAATCCTGGCGAGAGATTTGGGCCACCCCGTTCGCAGTCATGTCCGCTGGCAGCGCCACACGAGAGAAGGCGGGGGGTTCGTAGGGCAAGCCGTTGAGGATGTAGACATAGGCCCGACCCTGCTCCCAGCGAGTGTTACGAAAAACTTGCATCTTGCGGATGAACCACCCCGCACGAGCAGCGTCGTTGGTCCACACAAGGTGGAGCTGGTGGCGCTGTGCCCTTGTGCGCAAACGAAGGGCACGAGCCATCGTCGCCTCGATGAGGTCCGGGGACGGCCAGAATGACATGCGGCGAGCCCGTGTGGAGTAAACGAGCAGCTTGATCCCGCTGGCAACTGCGTCCTGCATGTGCCAATGATGATAAACGTTACAGGAGGTAAGGACTCCGCATTTGGCTACGCAACCTAACGACTATAAAGCGAGGCAAATAAACAACGACCACATCCAACACTTGCTGTACCTTTAGACCATTCAATAGCCCAGGAATGAATTTGTTGGCGTTTTCCAGGTTGTCCGCCCATATAATCAGCTGCTCGGTCGGTGGGCCATGCTTGCCACGCACGTTCGCGGTCTCCCTATCGAGGGCCTGTGCCACGAACGGGGTGTAAACGCGATCACGCAGAGGACCCGGTGCGCCCTGATTGACATTCGGGGTGCTCTCGCGGACGCGCTGTCGAGTCGTTGCTGGCGCAGTGTGGCGTTGTGCCGCAGTGTCGGCATCCCCCTCCGCCACGTTCATGTTGCCCGTACGTCGTGCCTCGCGGAGTCGGGCGTTGAGGTCTGCAATCTCGCGCTCGCGGTCGCGCAGGCGCGCAGTCAACGCCGCGTTCATGGCCGGGGCTGGTGCAGGCGGTGCACGATTGCCGTTCACGCTCCCATTGGCGGCCACCGCGGGACCACGTCCGCCAGGCGCGCTGACGGCAGGAGTCGCTGGTGCCGCATGGCTCAGCTCCGTCACAAGGCGCTGCCTCGATCTCGCCGCTGTAAACGCATGAAACAACGAAATCAGCATCAGCTTCAAATGTGAGTACCCGGTAGGTATAGTGGCAATGCATAGCTCATTATGATAATACTCACCTTACGCCTCCTCGTCGACGAGTTCGGTTGGTGCAACTACTGACGGCTCGCCACTGTCTTCAACTTCATCCTGATTGGCCGCCCATTCCGCGTAACCCGTCTCCGTCGCACTATTGGTCATGTCGTCGTCAGAGTCGTTGTCATCACCGGTTGTTGCTGCGCGACCGGGTCGTCCAGCGTTGGCACGCGCGGCGGCGCCGTAGTATACCATGTCCCTGTCAGCAGCTCGTCGTCCCGCGTTCGACCTACCCGATCGGCGCATCGGTTCGTAAGGTGAGCGTGCGGACCCCATGCTTAGCTCAAGCTCAACAATGTCTACGTTTGTCCACGTCCGTGTCATGTATGTTTCCGCCAGGTGAGTTTAAATAGATAGCTTTCGGGAACTGTGGTCCCGGGAACACGTAACTCTACCTCCCTCTGTTTTCCACGCCTCCTCGTCTTGTCCAGACGCACTCAGCTTCTATCTCCCCCTGCATGCGTCCTTGCCGTGTCACCACTTACCCCCACTTACATAGGCGCAGCGTGCGCTGTCGACCTTGCACGGGCGTTGCGTCTCGCCCATCTCTTGTTATCCTATGGAATCAAGCCATGCCATTCCGCACGCTCAAGCCACGCTCTGTCAGGATATTTGTGATAAGATGTTTGTGAGCCGCGCTGTAAACCGCCAATGGGCGACGACTCTCGCATGACAGCCCCACCGTGCGTGCGTCATCAAGAGTTGCGGTACGCCGCGCACAAGATATGTTGCCTCATTCCCAAAGTATTAACTCTTCCAACGAGATAGCCGCGTGTGACTCTAGATTCGAAATATGCCAACGAGATAGCCTCATTTTAAAAATAACATGGTTTGTTATACACACATAGTGCCGTTTCTCCATATTCATGTTTCCAATCCGTTCACAACAACTTAACATTACGTGCTGAAGAGGACCATCATATTATCACGCTAGGCACGCCGTAAGAAAGTTCCTAAGGGTGAACATAAGGAAAGCGCTCGTCGCTGCAGTCCCTGTTCAGGCACCAGTCACGGTCGATTTTGAAATCGTCATATTCCTGTGAGACCAGCCTGAATACCACCGGCCCCTCACAAATGGTCGGCTCTTCCCACGGAAACTTGCAGTAATGCCAATTCACGGTGCAGAACCAGGATCCTCGCGCCTCGCGCGGTGGTATTTCCCACCACGCCATCATGCCTAGCGCGTGCGCAAGCACCCCAGCTCCCATACCATCTGCACCGCCAATGTGAGATGCCTGCTGGAACTTGTCTGGGATACGCCCAGGAAGTTTGGCGTGCTTGTAATCCTCACGCGCGTCTGGAGCCCCAACATAGTTGTAGAAGCCTCTGTCGAGCTGCATGTATAGGAAGTCCGTACGTGGCGATGATTCAACAATAAAGCACGTGTCAGGATATAATAAATGCCACTCGACACATCCAGTATCACACAAGAGGTTTGCGAAGGGTTAAAAAATCGTTGAAAACGAGGCCTAACAGAAACCTTACCACCCATCCCTCCGAATGCGCGAACTCCATGAGGTACCGTCGAAAATCATCCTTTGGCGGCTCTGAGGCGACCAGTTCGTCGACGTTTTTGGCCATCACGTTTACGCCACGGAACCCCGCAGCCGCCAGCTCCACAAAAGCCTTAGCACGCTCGCGGACGGAAACGGGGTCCCGGTCGTCGTTGAAAACTGCCTCTATGATGCGGAGGTCGATGTAGGTGAGCTCAGCATCGTGCTCCAGGCCACGGAACTCACGGAGCTTGTGTGCAACGGCGCGGCTCGTAGTGACCAGGTGCTCAATGCTGTCTGCCAACTTCTTGGGGGTAGGTTGCTCGTCACTGGCCAGCAGACGTGCATATTCAGCTTGCATGAGTACCGCTGCAATGTCGGGGTAGTCCCGCACGAACACGTGAATGTTACCAGGCCTTGTTTTGGCTGTCCGCGTGCGCGGCCACGTCGGGCCCTGGTATCGGTTGTACGGCTCCGTGTTGTTCAGGTCGCGAGCGCACCGCCAACGTCGCTTGTTCCGTTCATAGTTCCCGAAACAAAATCTGACGCAGAAGATGCCATTGTTAGAGTTGGCTTGGCGTGGGCGAATTTCACGAGAGTACAGGTGTATTGCCGTGCGAAGTCTCAGACATAACAAGCGTTCTGCTGCTTGCCCAAGTAACTACCAAATGACTCATTATTGCACGACCCGTTAGAACACACACTCCTACGGAGCTACACCACTGAGTGGTACACGAGCTGGTCGACTCAGAATTCGCACAGACAAAGATTGATATCATCTTGAACCGTAAGAAATATCACACGCACGCTTCATGAGGTGTCACACCAGAGTGACAAATGATTACGACTGTCACGCCAAACCCTAGCCAGCTCATGGCACGCATTCCATCACGCACGAAGTCGTGTCCTAAAAATGCTCTACATAGTATCTAGATTTTTAGGAGCCTCGTGCCTGGAGAACGTGCCAGTCGCGTCATCAGGCCCAAACTTGAACATCTGCTATACGCCAAAGAGTCATGTTGCGTCTCTTCGGTGGCTTGACATTGGCTCAGCCGACGTGTATGCTGATTTCCTTTCCACCGATTCGTCACTAATTTATCTGCCCCACGTGGCTCGTATAACTGTTGGTAGAGGCTCGAGTCGCGTATTTTTGCGAGGCTTGGTAGATGACAGACATCGTAACGCCCTTGGGTCCTTTACCTCCCTTGCAAACGACTGAGGCTAACGGCATAAAAATGGCCACGAATCATGTGCATTTCGTCAAACAGAGCCTGCGTGGCGTCCCGCAGCGATGCCGCCCGTATCCTACCTTTTCGCCTGTGAATGGTGCCTTGAGCACTTCACGCAATGCACAGCGCTCGTAGCACACAAGCTGCATAGTGATGAATGCCGCCGAGAACGCAGGCGGTACCTTCGTTTCATTGCCCGCAACCCCTTCGCGGACATCAATGACTACTTTGCCGACGCATCTCTGATTGCTGAAGACCAGCCGACCACAGATGCTGCAGATTTGGCCGTCAATTCGGAGGTGAGCCCACTCAGTCTGGCAGTTTGTTGTTGTCCCTGTCATGCTCGCATGTGACTAGCATACCGAAACAGGTCTCATGATGTTCCTTTTCCGTGCAGGGGTCTGAGGGCCAACACCCACGCGGGGCGGACACCAACGACGAGGCGCCGTCGGAGGATGAGTCTGACTACGAGAGCGACGTCGACGATGGGGATTCGGATGAAAGCGATGATGACGACGTCACTGACGAAGGGGGCGATTTCAACACTGCTTTGGAGTTCTTCCGCTTCGTCATTGGCTGCAATGGCGGCCAAGGCCTCAGCGACGAAGCAACTGCGTGGCTTTTCAAGCTCCTGCGCGACCCACGTGTGGATCTGGAGGCTATTCGCCCCTGGCGTACCAAACACGCCGTCATACAGTACGGACTTCGCCTCATGCTGGCGAGGCGGGTGTACAGGCAGGTTGAAGTGCGCATTCCAGGCGTCGACCACACCTTCGAACTGATGTGTACAAGCCCCGTCGAGGTAAGACGTTGTCCCCGTCCGCCCTTGCCTCATGCCGCCTCTGGCACATCTCGCCCTTGCCTCATTCAACCATGCCTCATTCCGCCCTTGCCGCATTCCGCCCTTGCCGCATTCCGCCCTTGCCGCATTCCGCCCTTGCCGCATTCCGCCCTTGCCTCCTTTCGCCTTTGCCTCCTTTCATCCTTGCCTCATTTCGACCTTGCCTCCTTTCATCCTTGTCTCATTTCGTCCTTTGCTCGTTTAGTACTTGCCTCGTTCCGCCCCTGCTTCTATCCGGCATTGCCTCATTCCGCCCTTGCCTCGTTTCGTCCAGCGCCTGAATTCCGCCCTTCCAACATGCCTCCCTTGCCCCACACCTCCCTTCCCCCACACCTCCCTTGCCCCAGTCCTCTATTGCCTCATTGCGTCCTTTCTTCATTTCATCCTTGTCTCATTCCTCCCTTGCCCCATTCCTCCCTTGCCCCATTCCTCCCCTGTCCTATTCCTTTCTTGCCCCATTCCTCCCTTGCCCCCGTCCTCCCTTTCCCCATTCCTCCATTGCCTCATTTTCGTCCTTGCCTCGTACCATCCTTGCCGCGTTCTGTCCATGCCTCTGTTCGCCCGTGCGTTGGCTCAGGGAGTCGTTGAGATTTTCGGCCACCGTGACAATGCGGATGGCTTCCAGTTGTTCGCCCGTCCGGTACACTCGGTGGCGGGACGCGTGTACACCCGGCCAGAGACTGGCATTCTCTGGGAAACTGCACAGGTACGGACGTGTATTCTGTCTTGTGCCGGGGGTATACGTTGTTGATGTCGTCCGCCCTTGCCTCATTCCACCCCTACCTCTATCCAATCTGGTTTCATATCTTTCATGCTTCGCTCCTCCCTTGCCCCAAACAACCCATGACGCTGTCCGCCCTGGTTTGTATCATCCTTGCTTCTCTCCGCTCTTGCATCATTCAACCCATGACTCTATCCGCCAAGGTTTCGTGTCTCCGTTTATTTCTCTCAGACATTGCCTCATTCCACCCCTGACACTGTCCGACCTGGTTTCATATCTTTCTTGCTTCGATCCGCCATTGCCTCATGCAACCCATGAATCAGTCCGCCCTGGTAGTGGATCAGAGTTACATCGTGAACCTACTATGGATCATATAACACTCGTGTTTGCAGGGTTGCGTGCTTTTAGCGGGTTCCAGATGCCGATGTTGTGTTTTGCGTTCCTAAAATAACCATGAATCGTTGTTGGCAGGCCGCCCTGGACGAAATTTATGGCCCCGGCCAGGTGGTGTCACCCATCATAATATCAAGTGATGCCACGATTCTCAGCGGGAACGAGCGTGTGAAGGTTTGGGCGGTGTACCTTAGCATCGCCAACATCCATCTCCGTCTGCGGTGGGGGGATTCGGGGAAGATTCTGCTTGCGCTTCTCCCAATGCCCGTACATGGAATGACGGCCGAGCAGAAGGTGCAGCTCTTTCAAGCTGCGATGCAGGTGGTCCTCGCGGACTTGATTGTCGCATCGCACACGTGAGTGCTCTAAACACACGACCAAAGCCCATGCCTCAATCCGTCCTTCACTCTCTCTCTCCTTGCCCCATTCCGCCCTTGCATCATTCCACCCTTGCGCCGTTCCGCCCTTGCCTATGTCCGCTCCTGCCTCTGCCATCCCTTGCCTCGTTCCGCCCATGCCGCTGTCCGCCGTGGCTTGTGCTATTACTTTGCTTTTTTCAGACACGGTGTCGCCCTGGATTCGTATCTTCCTTGCATCGGTTCGCCCTTGCCATCTTCAACCCATGACTATGTGTGCTCTGTTTTCTTATCATGCTTGACTCCATCAGCCCTTGCCCCATACAGCCATGTGTGTTTGCCATGGTTTATGCACCTCCAGTGCTTTCTTCCGCCCTGGTTTCTGCACTCCCTGTTCATACCGCCCTGGTCTCTTATATTGCATGAATCTGTCCGCCCTTGCCTCATTCTGGCGATGCCTCTGTCCGCCATGTTTTATGCACCTTTTCACCCCTTTCCCCCCTTGGTTTCTGCACTCTCTTGCCTCTGTCCACTCTGGTTTCCAATCTTCCATGTACATGTCCCTGGTTTCTGCACCTCCTCCCCTCTTTCCGCCCATGCCGCGTTACGCATTGCACACAGGGGGATTGCGGCCCGCGATCCATGGGGTGTAGACAGGGTCATCTGGCCTCTGCTATACTCCTACGTGGCTGACTTCCCAGAAACCTGCAAGGTTTCTTGCACACAGCAGCAGGGCAGTCAGATGCCGTGCTCCTTGTGCTATGCGGATCGGGGGCAGCTCAGGAACATGACGGCGGCGGCTTCAGAGTCGCGATCGGTGGAGCAGCAGTCATCACTGATTGCCAACCCTGCGCTCGCCAGGCAGTACTCCACTCTCTGCGTCGCGGTAGGTGCATCCCATTTCACGCGATGTAGTCCTCGATTGAGTGTCATGCCACTTGGGTGTTGGTGCTTCCATGGCGTTTGACACTCGTGGCTTGTGTGTGCTTCCTTGTTTTTCGTTGATGCAGTCGTTCCTCTGGGAGTGGAACTTCTCCCGTACGCTCTGGGGGAACACCTACCTGGCCCAGATGCCGGATATACTGCACATCATCTACCTTGGGTTCTGGCTGTACCTTCGCGCTGCCCTGCGTGGACCCGAAGGACGCGCCGCCACATTAGATGCGTAAGGCTGCCCTATGGATTATGCGCATGGTTACGCATGGACAAGCGTGTGGTTAGAACATCGTGTCAAATACTACAACTCCGGCCTTGCCTTTTCACATTCACCATGAGTTGTGTGCTGTTTTCGTCTCTAAACTGTTGCAGGCGTCAGAACGCACTACACCCTGGTGCAAGGCTGGCGGGTCTGCTAACCCCTGGTGATGCAGCGTACTGGGTCTCCGGTTCCAACTTCACGGCGTCGGAGCACGCTGGCATCATGATGGTGTGTTTTCCATTCATGTGGCTCATCTGTGAACCACGAATGTTTCCGTATCATACTACACATTCTCTGGTCAGATTGATGATGTTGGTTGTGCATACAACTCTGTGGCAGATTGTACCCTTCGTGCTGGAGGGCGAAGTAGCTGTGATCAGCAGACGCACGATTGTCGCCTTCCTGGACTGGCACGAGACATTCGTGAGGGCAGCGGCGCACACAGATGAGAGCCTGAGCGCCTTCGACAATGCCACCCGCAGGTACGCGGTGTAGACACTGTCGTGTGTGTCATTGGACTCTAAAGTTGTCCTCATTCAGCCCATGCCGCGGTCCGCCATGGTTTCTGCAGTTCATAGATGCTTTCCGCCCTGGTTTCTTATAACGCTTGCCTATCTATGCCCATGGCCCAAGCAGCCCATGCCACTGTCCACCCCTGTGGCAGTATCTTGCCAACTCATTTCCGCCCTTGCTTCTTTCCAGGATTGACCCAGTCATCCCATGCCTCTGTCCGGCCCGGTTTCTTATCTTACAAGCTTCTGTCCGCCCTTGCGCCTTTGCACCCTTTCCCAGCCCATGCCTTGGTCCGCCGCAGTTTCTGGACTTCCTTGGCCATGGTTTCATTTCATCCTTCCCTCTGTCCGCCCTGATTCCTCCTCTCACAGATTCACCTTCGACAGTACGCCATGCGTTTTGGCGGGTCTAAAGACAACCACGTATCCCTTTTGTATCCATGCTTTCAGGATGGTGCAGCTGGTGGAAAGCACCTTCCCTCGCGACGGCTCCGGGTGGAACCTTGTGAAGGTGCATCTGCTGCTTCACCTTCCGGAGGCGATTCGAAGGGGTGGCTTGCCTCGAGAGTACTCCGCGGCGGTGTACGAGAACGCACACATCCGCACCTGCAAGAGGCCGTACCGCAGGTCCAACCACCGGGACCTGCTGCGGGCGATCGCGCAGCACAACACCAACACGGCTCTCCTCACCCGCCTCCCAACCAACCTAGAGGGAGATCGCCAGTACAACACCGCGATGCGCCGGGTAAGTATGCATGTTTACTGTCGCTTGTGGTATTGGAGTGTTGTCCATGCGGTGATAGGTTAGTGAGGTGCAGGGTGGCAAGCTGGTGGTTGAATGCTGTAGCTCGCCTGGCCTCTAACGACTTGCTCACCCTGTACATTGCATTTGCCCCGCGATATGGCATGTGGCAGGCGATCGCCACTGGTCTGCCCCAGCTGTGCCGGCAGCGATCCAGGATGCACAGTGCGATCAGTGACAGGGAGCAGGCTCCCCTGGACCTGTACGCGACGTACGATGCCGCGATCCCCGGAGGCATCGGGCCCTACGCCTACCTGACGCGCCTCTACGGCTACGTCTCCTTTCCGGCGTGGGTAAGTGCGTGTGTCTGCTGGTACAATGACCACACCCGTTATCTCACTCATGTTGATGCTTGGTAACCCTGACTATTCTTCCCGGACCAGCACATCTCACCTCTGCCCCTGTCCCACTGCACTTCCCCCCCTGGATACCAAGTCCCCATGGACAGGGTGATGTTAATAGGTGTTTCCTCCCACATTTCTTTGCATTGATATTGAGCCCTTCCACCCTGCACCCTCTTCCCCCGTACCCTGGCACCCTAAACTTTCCGCCTGCCCTTTGGCACTAACATGCCAAGGCCGTCGCGGTTTCTGCACTCCCTTGTCTCTGTCCGCCCTGATTTCTTATCTTCCTTGCTTTTCCGCATCCTGCCCAATGGCTCATTTTGTCCTTGCCTCTGTCCGCCTTGGTGTTGCACTCCCTTGCCTTTTCCGTCCTGGTTTCTGCACTGCCTTGCCTATGTCCGCCCTGGTTTCGTATGTTTCTTGCTTATCCTCACTCCACCCCTGACTCATTCCGTCCTTGCCTATGTCCGCCTTTGTCTATGTACTCCCTTGACCTTTCCGTCATGGTTTCTGCACTCCCTTGTCTCTGTCCGCCGAGCTTTCTTACCTTCCTTGCTTTTCCTCATTCTGCCCATCGACTCATTCCGTCCTTGCCTATGGCCGCCTTGGTGTATGCACTCCATTGACTTTTCGGTCCTGGTTTATGCACTCCTTTGCCTGTGTCCTCCGGCGGTGTGTGCACTCCCTTGCGTTTTCCGTCCTGGTTTCTGCACTGATACTATTGTCCTTGATTTCGCTCATTCTGCACTTGCCTCGTTGGGCGCTTGCCTCTGTCCGCCTTGGCGCTGCCCACTGCGCTGTAGCCCATGCACTGACAGAGTATACCCCCCCGACTCATCCGCCATTCACTCCTGGTAGTCAACGACCACATTTAGGGTTTGGCTGGTGTAATCCAATCCGCCCTTGCCTATAAGCCCTGTTTGCTCTCCTTTCAACCCTGTAGTCAACCATACTCCTACCCGCATCTCTTCTGCGCTTCCTACCCAACTCGTTTCATCAGGTTCACACGGCGCTGGCTCTACCAGCCCACGAGCTTGACTACGGCCTGATCAGGCCGCACTATGCACGCGCCAGCCCCTCGCACCATGGCGCTCCCGCCTTCTCGTTCATCGAGTATGAGAACGGGAGCGGGGAGATCGTGCACGGCCGCGTGCACCTTCTCCTGACGCTGGTGATGAACAGCGAGGATGCACACCCCTCGGGAGAGGCCGTGGCATTTGTGAGGCAGTGGTACCCCTCCCAGGTGGACGAAGGCACTGGCTGCATGAGGATGCGGCCCTCCTACGACGAGCTGAGCTACGATCTCGTGCCGGTCAATGCCGTGCAGAGGACCGTGCACATGGTGGAGTCGTTTGTGACTCCTGGTCTTTGGTATCTGAACAAGTGGGCTGGCCGCTACCGCGAGGAGTTGACCTAAGGCCGCCCTGGAAGCGGGCAGAGGTTTCTTGTTGCCGGCACCCCGTGCTGGAGTTGTTGCCACAGAGTGTTGCTCGTGTGTTTTGGGTGAGGCGCAGACGCAGGACTTGCAAGCACTAAAATGCATCTGTATTTTATCTATTTCCCTTTTGTAGGTTTGGTTGGAAGGTGGGGCGTGATGTAGCATTTGGGAGGCTTTGTAGCCAGGAGGCTTTGTAGCCAGGAGGCTTTGTAGCCAGGAGGCTTTGTAGCCAGGAGGCTTTGATGCCAGGAGGCTTTTGCTGTGTGTGTTTTGTTTTGGTTTATTTTAAGTGCAGTTTGTTATCAATTTCAGTGTCATATGTGAGGATAAACACCATTCTTATACTAATATGGGAAGACTCTTTACAACGAAGTGAACCATCCTGGTTGCGCCCAACACACAACCCTCCCGAACACACAATGTGAAAGGGGGTACAATGGTAGTAGCAACCATGGCAGTGCATACGCATTGCTAGGCCAGGAAAGAATGTCAGGGGATTGCACAGGGCTTTCTGGGCCATGCCTGGCTGCGCATGGCTGCTAGATTCGCCAAATGTTGAAAGCTTTTGGGCGTCTCATTTTTTGTGAAGTCATCCTGGCGAGGGAAACGTGATTGTTTGTATTGTGGGGTATTGGCACATGAGAGTTGATCTTCAGGGAAGTGTGATTTGTTTGGACCAATGGAAGCCAAGGTCTTCCGCCAGCCAAACCGAACCAGAGCAACGATACCTGCTGTGACTACGAAATGAACGGTTGGATGGCGGGGAGCGGCCGACGTCGTCTCGTCAAGCAAATGTGACTCAAATGGCCGTCGCAAGGCAAGTGCGAACCGCACCACCCCAACTTGAAATCGACGGTCAGAACGTTTCACCCTTATATGAGAAGCTCGTTGACCGCGAAGCAACCAAGGTATGTTTTGTGTCCTCTGATATAAGAATGAAGAAAGTGTTCCAGTAACGCAGCAGTACATATTCATATACATCTATAGATTTAGGCAATGCAAGATCCACAAAAACAGTGCATACAAGCATTGACAATCATATCTGTAGGCGATGGGCCAAGACAGCAGCCAGCCGTCGTACCCATCCTGACTCTTTATAGGAGAAGAAAAACAGTGCGCGGTTTGGCCCAGATGGAGGTGAAACCACTAGTCCACGCAAGTGTTTTTGCCGAAATGTCACAGACTCTGATCAGCAGACACAATTTGTCCGGGTTCAGCCGCTCCAAAATGGACGACGATTGTTGCTTCTGGAAAGCCTGACCCAGCGCTTTCATTCTGAAAAAGCATATCCCCCCAGCGACAAGATCTTTCCGCCTGGGGTTGAAAATGTGGAGGGCTTTTAGCAGCCCATAAACCACCGGTTGGATGCAAGGGTAGCTGAACAAGCAGTGCTTCGCCGATTCCACCCCACCGCAGTGCCACCCCCTCAAGGAACTTCAGCCTCACCCCGACTTGCGGATTCCGACAGTGCAGCCAGAGCAGCACATCCCGAGCACAGTTCGGGAGCACTGCAGAATCCTTTACCCTGATGATTCTCTTCAAATGATACTCCCCCAGTCTTCGCCCACCTTTCTTACTGCAGCATTGCTCCCTGTCGCACGTCAAACAACCCTCTCATATGCCTGAACGGGGGGGTTTGATCATCTATGCACAGCTCCGACCATCGCAGCCGTACCTCAGGCAAACCACCCACCCCAATCACCCTTCCTTTTCGCACCATCTACCGCTCCACCCTGTTAAAGCCGAAAACCATCAGCCTCTCCACATTCCCCCCTAAGGGTTCACCAAAGCAGTCACATGCTCGGCAGGCAAGCCCTTGCTACACCACCACATCCACCTTCCAGACTCCCACCACACCAATTTTCTTTACATGCGACGACGCCTCCAGGAAGTTTTGCACCGCTTTAGGCGCCAATAGCTTCTCCTACTAGGAGACCAGTAAACCATTGAATATTTTAAGCATCTTTTTTTGCTTTCTTGGCTGTGCCCAGCTCCCTGGCCAGCACCTTTACATCTTTGAGCGAGCGCGTGCCATCCTCCGCACGACTGACAAAGTCCCCAAACTGAATAAGCTCCAGCCCCTTTGCCGCCTTCTGCCGACCTATTGGTTTTTTCTAGTTAGGCAGAACATGTCGATTGAACTGCGGAGGTTTGTGCGCGATATCCCATCTTGACTTCGACCCTTCCTTTGCTATCTTAAACCTCATGAAAGCCTCACACGTCTGTTTCCATCTCACACTGCGCCTCATCTTGTGCGCAGTAGAGCCAATCTGCCAGGAAGCAAAGCGCAGGAGGTTAGGCATTTGTGATGACCACGGGGACTAGCTAGCCTACCTCGGTCATGCTGACGACACAACATCGGTGCTGAAGGGAAAGCAGCATATTGGAAGAGCAGAGGCGCTTCTGGAGGAGTTCGGAGCCCGCTCTGGCCTCAGGGTCAACAAAAACAAGTCGGCGATACTATCGCTGGGGAAGAACCTGGAAGGGCAAGGACAAAGTGTCAGCCTTCACGTGGATTGAGCCAAAGGATTCGGAGAGGGTATCTCCATCAGGAAGTGCCAAGGTCACCTGGGAGAAAGCGCTGGCCAAGGCGGCAGAAGAGCTGTCGAAGTGGCAGTCGCAGTATCTAACCACGACAACGAGGGTGGGCGGTGGTGAATGTCAAATTATATATATGTTATATATGTGTAGGCTATAGTGGGGTAGCCAATATGGGGTATAGCCCCTTTAGGGTTTCATACTTGTACCCAACTTTCATCTAGTTCATTCATTCCTGCTAGTAGTTTCTGACATGGTTTCAGAGCAGTAGGTCCGTAGGACCGTTTTTTTTCGGGCCCACCTACCCTTGCGGCTACTGAGCTGCCCCACGTCTTGCCTGCACTGCGCCGCCCACGCGCACCCTGCCTTTCCTGTGCTGCACCGCGCACGCCCTGTCTTGCCTGCGCTGCGCTGCCCGCGCGCGCTGCCCTAGTCCCGCGCGCACCGCTTCAGCAGCTTGCGCGCAGCCTGCTGCTGCCCCGCGCGCAGCCCGCTGCTGCCTCGCGCGTCGCCTCCGCCGCTCGCGCAGCCCGCGGCTGCCCCGCGCACTGCCTCAGCGGCCTTCGCGCGGCCCGCTGCTACCCCGCGCACCGCCTCCGCCGCCCTCGCACGGCCCGCTGCTGCCCCGCGCGCCGCCTCCGCCGCTCGCGCAGCCCGCGGCTGCCCCGCGCGCAGCCTAAGCCGCCCTTGCGCGGCCCGCTTCTGCCCCACGCGCTGCCTCCGTCGCTCGCGCAGCCAGCGGCTGCCTCGCGCGCCACCTTACCCGCCCGCGCACCGCTCCAGCAGCCTGCGCGCACCTCGCGGTTGCCCTGCGTGCCGCCCTAGCCACTTGCGTGCTGCCCCAGAAGCTCGTGCGCCGCCACTGCAGCCCTGCGCACAGCTTCTCCCGGCCTGCGCTCTGGTTTGCCGCCTGCGCGCTACTCTTACCTACGTTGCAATCATGGCGACTCTCAATGTCCTTGCTTTTGATCCTGACGGTCGCCCGATAGAGTTTGCCACTTGGCTCGACGACCTGCAACTGTTTCTTATGACTGATGCCAAAGACGGAGTTTCACTGTTCGATCATGCATCTGGCACTTCCGTTGCTCCTGCTAACACTGCTGCCGCTCTCGACCGCTCACAGTGGCAGACTCGCGATGCTGCTTGGCGCCTCGCTATTCGCAACCATCTGCCGATCACTGAGCGCGCGCATTTTAGTCAGCACAAGACTGCTAAGGCACTGTATGAGGCTGTAGTTGCCCGCTACTCTTCCCCAGCCACTGCATCCCTATGTCATCTTCTCCTACCCTACCTGTTCCCCGACCTGTCCTCGTTTACCACCGCTGAGGACCTCATCTCTCACCTTCGCGCTAGTGACGCTCGCTTTCGTGCCGCCCTTCCAGACGAGTTCCTCGCTGAGAATCCCCCCCCAATGTACTTTACTCTATACTTCCTCGTCACCCGCCTCCCTGACACTCTTCGCTCAGTCAGGGACCACTTTCTCGCCCTAGACCCTACCACTCTCACTGTCGCCGACTTCGAGAAGCACCTCCTAGCAGCCGAAAAGAACATTCTCGCTGTAGGTGCTGCTCGTGGCACTCCTCGCACTCCCCTCTTTGAGGGGTGCTCCCCCTCCCCTCTTGCCCCCTCCTACGCCTCTGCTGCTACTGCTGTCGACTTCCTTGGTGCTGAGGAGGTCGGGGCTGCTTCCGCTCCTAGTGGGAAGCGCGGAGGCGCCAGGGGAAGCAGGGGTGGCAGGGGAGGTGGAGGTGGCGGTGGAGGGGGCGGTGGTGGAGGCGGCGGGGGAGGTGGAGGTGGTGGGGGTGGTCGTGGGGTTGGAGGTGGTGGTGGGGGCGGCGGTGGTACCGGGAGCAGTGGCGGTGGCAGCGGCGGTAGTGGGGGAGGAGGGAGCGGTGGTGGCAGCGGTGGTGGAGGCTGGAGTGGAACCGGCCAGAAGGGGGGCTCCAGTGGTGGCCAGGGGCAGCAGCAGCAGCAGAAGCAGCAGCAGCAGCAGCCGCAGCAGCAGCAGCAGCAGCGTCAGCGCCAGACCCCCACGTCTCAATAGCTTCATGACTGGTATGCTCAGCGTGGGGCGTCTGGGGGTCCTGTTCGCTGCCCCTATATCATTCGCACAGGTCCCCGCGCTGGTCGCCCATGCAACGGTTTTCACACTGAGTACCGCTGCTTCTCTCGGCTTAGCGACGCCTGGCGCACCAAGTTTCCTGAGGCTACTGAGTTCCCCCCTTGGGCAGACCTGCTTAGGCGTGATGTTCCTATCTTTGATCTTGACTATGATGCAATTCTTGCTGCCATGTATGCATTGACTGTTAGTGCTGAGCTTGACTGCTACTTGTGTATGCCGCCTGACCCAGGTATAGAGACTGCAGCCCTAGGTGCTAGTGAGTCTGCTCTCCCTGGTACTGCGTCGGCTCAGGCCTTGCACACCTTTACACTTGACTCTG